CTGATCCCTTCCCGTGGTAGGCGTGTATCCCCACCGTGGAGGTAGAACCACTTGCGCATTGAAGATTTCAGGTCTCCCGGGAGTGTCTCAGCATTTTCTGGTCTTTCTAAACATCCAGGCAGGGGAAGTCAAACTTTATTGAAAACGTTGATCCCAGGAATTCAGTCCCGTCTGCCATCCAAAACTAAAACCCAAGAATCAGCAACTTAATAAAAATGCAGTAAATTAGCACCTCTAGACAAGAGCAGAGTTCATTCAGAGCTGGGGTCTGCCTGGCTGAGCCAGTACTCTCTCCATTTTAATAGTTTAATAAAAATTAGCATAATTAACGAACATCTGTATGATCCAGAGTGGTGCAATTTGGCACTTGGAAACGAGGGTTTAAACATGATTGCTGTGAGTTTAATGTTGTTTTAATTCTTTTTGGCACTGTGCAGTGAAATAAACGTTTGGTGGTGATAGTTCTCGGCCGGATCTCATTTGCATTTTTCTCCCTTTGATTATGAGCAATTGTGGACTCCCCAGCAATTCATCAAAGTAGAAATTATTTTAAAATACCTCGTGGTGTTCAGACTGGGCTGGAGCAATGCATGGGAGGTGGTAGTGGAAGAGAAGCCTAGAAATTTTCCATTCATGCTTTAAAATCTCAGCCCTGCAGCCCTTTTTGGGTATCCAGCCAAGGGATGAAATCTGGAAAAGCCAGTCAGATCCCAAGACCTGTAGGTGCTTTGATTAAGCTCCTAGGCTCCCACAGCAGGGTACTTACGGTCTCTGAGACTGTGCCATCCTCCTTACTCTCTGCCTGCTCTTTTGTTTTGAAGGGCAGAGAGTTGATTTCACTCATTTCAGTTCTCAGCACTGTGGTGAGGCTTCTCCATCTGCAGTCGGCAGGGTCAGTGTTCCCCTCGAGCAAGAGCACACGGCCTGGGAGCCTGGTCTTTGCAAGTGTCCTGCTGAGCCTCATCTGCTTCCTGTTTGCACCCTCTTCGGGTTGGCAGAGAGCACCTTCCCAAGGCTTGGTCCCTACTCCCAGCATTACGGCTAAAGGCGGATGCTATGGAGCATGAGTCGAAGTCAGGAGTCTGAGACAGTCCCCAGGGAGGGAATGCCTGGTCTGAGCCCCTCAGGTGATGAAGATGACACCATATGGCAGGTGGAAGACCGCCCTTCACATGTGTTTCAGCAAGTTGACATGGATCAAAAGACTATCAGACGACACTGTGCCCACCCTCCCGCCTGTGAGGTAGCAGAAGAGCTAAAGCTAGGGTTTTTATGAGTAACAGTACGAGAGGAAGACAGAATATGTGTCTCTCTCAGCAAGGCTTTGTGGAAATGGCATTCCAGCAACATGCTAAGCAAAAGGCAACACTACAAGAAAACTTAAGGCAGAAACTGCCCTAACTTCAGTGTTGGAAAATGGACAGTAACATAATTTGTACGGAGAGGAGTTTAAAACATCCTGACAGGCAGAGGCTGAGGGGCTCCGGGTAATTTCCCACAAGGCAATGCAGACTGTAGGGAGAAGTTGGCCTGGGGGAGAGTGGGGGGCATGAGAAGGTGTGGGGAAACAGTGGGCTGGGTGGTAGACACATGCAGTTATTTAAGACTGGTTCTTAAAAGGTAATTCCCTGTTCTTTTTAAGATCAACTCAGCCTCGCTTGGTATGGCATTTGAGACTCTCTTCATGGTATTTAGGGAGCCATTTGGGAAAACTCTCTCCAAAGGCAGTTGCTCTCTTCCCGCCACAACCAGTTCAATTACCAGGAGAATATCTTGGATTTAGCTGAAACTAAATCTGCTCAACTGAAAGAATAAATCCCACTGCTCCCTTCATTTCTTCATAACCTTATTTAACAAGTATGTTTTGGCCCCTATCTGTGCCGGCTACCATGCCGAGTGCTGGGAGTAGAACAGCAAACAAAACCAGCGAAGTTCCAGCTCTCACAGGACTTTCCACCTCGTGATTGGCAGTGAGACAAAGGCAGCAGATACAAGACAGCGTGATGAACTCATGTCCAGGGAAGCACAGGACACAGTACACAGTACAGAGTTGTGGCCCCCACACAGAGAGGGGCAAAGAGAAGCTTCTAGAGCATCTAGAGAAGCCCAGGAATTGAGATCTGAAGGCTGCTTAGGAGTGAGCCCCATGAAAGGGTGAAGGGAAATAGGAGCTAAACAGGCAGAGGAAAGGCTCCAAGCTAAGAGAGCCTGTGGCCCATGGGAGTAGCAGATACAAAGTCTGTTTTACTAAGGGTCCACTAGATTTAGGGGGTAAATGACAATGCTGAACAGTGAACAGGACCAGGTCATGCACAGCCTTGTTCACCTTATTAAGACATTGACAAGAGGCAGTGGGAACCCACTTAAAGGTTTCAAGCAAAGCAGTGATTTTTTATCAATGTGCATTAAAATGATTCTGGCCCCAGAATGAAGACTAGATTGGAGGGGAACAAGAATGGAGATACAGAAACGAGCTTGGAGGTTGTTTCTGTAGTCCTCATGAGAAATGACAGTGACATGACAAGGGTATTGGCAATGGGAATGGAGAGAAGTGGATGGATTCCAGTAATACTCTGAAAAGAGAATCAACAGAACTCAAAGACTGACTGGAAGAGGAAGGTGCAACTGGAAATGACTCTTGAGTTTCTGGCTTGATTAACAGAGTGCATAGAGCTACCATCCACTGAGATAGAGAACACAGGAGGTAGAGCTGGTTGGGAGTAGGAATGGAGACAGAGGCAGGATGATGGGTTAAATTTAGGATATATTGAGTTTGAGCAGCTTGATGGACATGCACTTGGCATTAGGATCCAACACTTAGATCTGGGCTGGAGCTATGATTGTGAGTCATTTATATGGTGGCTAAAGCACAGAGGTATATCAGATTGCTCAAAGGAAGTGCATCAAGTCAGAAGAGGGCCAGGACAGAATGCTGGAAACAACCACATCAAAAGGAAAGATAGAGAAAGATGAGCTTGCAAAGGAGAATGAGAAGCAACCAAGGAGGTAAGAGGGAAGCCCGGAGAGTATAATTATCACAGAAACTAAGAAAATAAAATGCCTCAAGAAGGGTCCATAGTTGCCAGCACTGTTGAGAGATGAAGTTAAGGACCGAGAAATACCATAGAATTTGAGCAATCGGAGGTTATAGGAGACCGTGGAGAAAAAGTGTAAGTGGAGTGATAGGAGCAGAAGCCTGAGTAGAGTGGCTTGAAGATGGAACAGAAAGCAAGAAGTTGGGGTAGAAAGTGAAGTAAACTCTTTCAGTAAGTTTGACAGTGAATTAGCATAGATGAGTAGAAATGGGAAGTAGGCATGAGGTGGGGACTATTTAATCACTGTTTCCAAAGACAAAAGAAACTTGAATACATTTCGTGGTGATGGAAGGAGCCATTTATCTTAGAGGCAGAAGTCAGACTCCACAGAACCTCACCTCTAAGAAATAAAGAAAGTGGAAGGGTTACAAGGCCATGTTACCAGGGAGAGTCTTCAACCATAGCCCGTGGGACCTTATGCTCTCCTAGCTTTAACTTCCTTTTCTGGAGGAGTAGGGATAATATCATCTCTCCCCTATGTTGTGGGAATATAAACGTCCGATGCATAGTAGGTGCTCTAAACATTAGATTCTTCCCCCAGAAGAGTTGGGAGGTTGACAGACACATCAGTAAGGACAGGCAGGACATAGGAGCCCACATGATGCTCTTATGTACCCATGATGAGAGAGTCTTAAACCAGAGGAAGGACACCTCCTCCACTTTAATGGGAAGGAAGGGTGGTTGTCAGTACAGGTAAGTTCCTCTTTTGGCGGCTGAAGGTTGACACATCTGATGGCTTCTCTTTTCTTTCTGAAGGTGGAAAAGAGGTCATCTGCTGGAAGGGCAGGGGAGGCAGAGCTGGAGGAGGGGAGAGATAAGCTATCCAAGGAAAAGAAGGATAACCAGTTGACCTGGAATTTTATTGTGTCACCAACCTGGTTTTCTTTCTTTCTTTTCTTTTTTTTCCTAGTAGAATTCAACAGCCAAGTGTGTAAAAAGACAGCTTCATGGTACCGTATATGCAGTTGAACTAGAATACATGATATTCCCTATGTATCCCTAAATTTTACTTCCTTTGAAAGAAAGAAAATATTTTCTGGTGCTTTCAGAAGCAGTCCCATAGTGTTTAACATCTGCTGTGCTTTTGAAAAGCTCTTCTGTATTCAGGGCGCCCTACTCCCAACCCTGTGATTGCTCGTTCTTTTACACCTTCTCATTCCCTTTCTTATTTGCTCCTCTCTGGGGCTCCTATGTCCTCCCTGTCTTTACTGATGTGCCTGTCAACCTCCCAACTCTTCTGGGGGAAGAATCTAATGTTTAGAGCACCTACTATGCATCAGACATTTATATTCCCACAACACAGGGGAGAGATGATATTATCCCTACTCCTCCAGAAGAGGAAGTTAAAGCTAGGAGAGTGTAAGGTCACACGGCTACTAAATGACCAAGTGGGGATTGTGTCCCAGTCTGTCTGACTCCAAAGCCCATTACTCTATGCTATAAGCTCCTAGGGAGCAAGCAATGCTCTGATTCATCATTATATATCTCATGGGATCTCAAACAGCACTTTGCACATAGACGATGCTTAGTAAATATTATTGATTTGAACTATGACCTGACTCCCTGAATGTCTTTAGTGTTCTGGCATTTAGGATGTGCCCAACTTTCTCAGAAGAAGCCATTCCACTCTGCTTGATAAAAGACATGCTCTTTAGGTTCAGCAATGGCATCGAATGTACTAGATTTACAACGTAGACAGGCAGACGGCAAAATGAAGGTAGAGTTTGCTTTCCTCCTCTGGGAGATTTTTTTTTTTAATCTAATAATCCCATCAGGGGTGTTAACAAGTCAGACTGTAGTATCGACAAAGAAACCACCCAACATAATCTCCCATGCAATCACTGTCAGAGATTAACAGAAACGTGACTGAATTCCAACTGAAACCACTCTCTTTTCATTTCTCAGGAGTATAACGCGTATGGCTGGTGGGTAGGAGAACTGAACAGCCTCATTGGGATTGTTCCAAAGGAGTATCTCATCACTGCCTTTGAAATGGAAGAAATATGAAGCCCAGGTATCAAAACTATTGCCAATAAATCCATTGGTCATGCCTTCATCTCTCTGTGAAGGATAAGAGTTGCCATGGCTTTTCTTCACTTCCACCAAGTGATGCTAATGATTTCCTGTTGAAACAAGATGAAGCTGGAATTGTTTTTCCTAAATTGGGGAACTGTGTCGGTTAGGATTAGGTTCAACGACATGTGAAACAAAACTCAAAATAACAATGACTTAATTAACATAGAAATTTATTTTTCTCTTCCAAAAAAGTCTGGAGGTAAGTGATCCAAGGTACCCAGGTTCCAGATATCTTCTCTTTTTGCTCCACTGTATGTCCCAACATTCCAAAGCTTACCTTGCGGCCCAAGTTGGATGCTCCAGCTCCAGCTATCATGTCTGTACCCTACCCAGCAGGAAAGATGAAATGAAAGGGGAAGGGTACACCCACTTGTTTTAGGGACATTTCACAGACGTTGCACACACCGCAGCTTACATCCCATTGGCCAGAACTTGGACAGAAAGATAGACTTATTCTAGGTAGAACCTGTGTCCAGCTTAAAAGTGGAGAGGGGAGAGGATTCATTAATAAATAAAAAGGGGAGAATGGATATTTGGGGACAACTAGGAATTTTTGCCACAAGGATGGGTCTGGCTTTTTTTTATCCCCAGCTCTCAAATCCAGAGTACCATTTCCCCCAAATGCCCATGTATTACGATATGATTGGCCAAGACTAGGAATCCAGGATGAGGATTCCTATGGAACATAATCAAATTAACTTTTAGGTAATAAAGAATATAGCTTGTGTTTTATGAGCAAGAAACACATCACATTTAAAACAGTGGAGGGAGTGCCTGCTTTGGGTGGCGTAGCTTTGGTGCAGAGTGGGTTTTGTTTAGAATTAGGATGGTGATGGAGGGCACCCAAGGCTAGCATGATGTCTCTAGCTCCTTCTTCTGGCCTGAAATGGGAGCAGCCTTCACTACTGGGGGTGAGGGATGACTTGCATGACAGTGACACAAACTATCCTTGGAATCTTCCAGACCAGGGCCCATTGTAGTGTCAGCAGCAGCTGAGTGGATTCATTTAGGAGGATACATAAGTATAGATCTTACTCTATGATGCCCTTGTACAACCATAAAGCACCAGCTCAGGCCTGTCACTCAAGGTCTGACTTTATGACTTTCCTAATGAGGATTCCATTTCCTGGCCATGAATGCAGAAGCGTTGGAATTCTTCTGGCAAATCTAAACACATTCACTCTACTTCACTTTGTCATTTATTTAATGACACAGCTGTTTATCTCCCCTTTCTCTTTGACCCAACAATTCTACAGCTAGGAATTAATCCTATAGCTACACTTGCACACATGCAAAAGGATATACACATGGGGCGCCTGGCTAGCTCAGTCCGTGGAGCGTGTGACTCTTGATCTCCGGGTTGTGAGTTTGAGCCCCACACTGGATGTAGAGAATACTCAAAAATAAAATCTTGGGGCGCCTGGGTGGCTCAGTCAGTTAAGCGTCTGCCTTCGGCTCAGATCATGATCTCAGGGTCCTGGGATCGAGCCCCGCATCGGGCTCCCTGCTCCGCGGGAAGCCTGCTTCTCCTTCTCCCACTCCCCCTGCTTGTGTTCCCTCTCTCGCTGTCTCTCTCTCTCTAATAAATAAAATCTTTAAAAAATATATAATAAAATAAAATCTTAAAAAAAAAAAAAGGATATACACACAAGATTACTTGTCTGTAATGACACACCACTAGAAATGACCTAAATATTCAGTAGAGACCTGGCCAAATAACTGTCGTACATTCATAGAATTAAATACTATGCAACAGCAAAAAAGAAAAGGAAGCTCTCTGCACTGATGTTGGTAAGAAAAAAAAAAGCAGCAAAGAAGGGTAGGCCTAATGTGTTCCATTTGTGTGAGAAGGGGGTCTCCAAGGGCACCTGGCTGGCTCAGTCCGTAGAGCATGCAACTCTTGATCTCAGGGTCATGAGTTCAAGCCCCATGTTGGGTGTAGAGCTTACTGAAAACAACGTGGCAGTTTGGGGGGGAGGGAATCTCCAGTTGTTTCTGTGTGTAGAAGATATCTCTGGGAGAACAGAGACAATAGCACTGACTGCCTCCGAGGACAAAGTGCATGACTGGGAGAGTAGGAGGGAGATGCTCTTTACTTTGTGCCCTTCTATACCATCTTTGTTTTGAATCATAAAAGCAAATTTATATATTTTTCCTCCTTTAGGACACATATCCTTGTCTCTGGCCTGCCTTTATGAAGAAACCGATCGTCAGGAGTTCCTATCCCCTACCCCAGCCACCCCACCAACACCATGGATTCTTCTCTTTACTGAAGAGACCCAAGCCTCTGACACCTTGTAGTAACTGAAAACCGCCAGCGAGACAAGTGGGAAAAGGCACACTCAGCAGATCTGTTACTACACCTGCCTTGTCATAGCTCATCCCACCTTTACTTTTTTTTCATCCCGCCTGTAAACATGTCCACACATCCACTTCCGCCTTCTCCACAGGCTTGTCACAGAGAAGGTGAGAGAGAAGGAAACCTTTGGAGGAGGAAGTTGCTGGTTGTTTCATCTGATTGGAAAAGCATAAATAAACTTCATATTTGGTTCCTGGCAGTGTGTGATAGTGTCTAATTTCTTTTTGCAGTGATCTCAAAAAGGCCGGTTCTGGGCATTCCTGCCACCTCCAGACAAAGTAGAAAAGGAGAGCCAGAGAGAAAACAAGAACCCGGACAGAGAGGGGGACTTGCAATTATCTTCCAGGGCAGAATCATCTCTGGAATCCGAGCCTGCCTGCTTTCTGTTTGGCTTCTCAGACTTCCTTTGGCTGCCTTCTTGGTGGTTTTTCCTTATGTGCTGAATCTCTGAAATGAGACAGGGCTAGAAGCAAGTCCTTGGAGTCAGCACATTGGAGAGTTCCTTCCTGGCCCTTAGCTCACAACCACAATGTGTCTTGCATTGTCAGTCCCAGGCAAAGGCCAAGGAAGTGCTTTGGGGAGGGCTTATGTGTACACAGCCCTGTTCCTCTTCCTGTGGTCTCACGTTATCTGTGTCTTAAAGAGGCAGCAAACATAGTGGTTAAGAACATAAATTCTGGAAGCAGACAGCCTGAGAACAAATCCCAGTTCCCCATTTACTAGGGGAGCAAGTTACTTGACATACACACGCCTCATCTTCCTCACCTTAGAAAGGGTGTAGTCCATTTCACTGGGTCATTAGGAAGATTAAAGAGTCAACACGTGTAACATACTTGGGACAATGCCTGCCGCATAGTAACTGCTCAATAAGGGTTCGCTATTATTATGGCCAGTCGCTATGCAGAAATTTTGAAAAATGGGCAACTGCGCAGCTATAGAAATTTTCTCTCTGGAACTGCCTATTCAGAGCAGCCCTGGGTCGGCAGTAGCCTTCCTCAGCTCTGTAACAGCCGTCTTCTAGCCCTGCAGTAAGACACCCATTTCACATCACCAAAAGAGAGAAACTGGAGAGCAAACGGGGATGCTTCAGTGCGTTCCAAGTTTCTTAAAAGATTTTTATGCCAGCCATTCATTTCCAGATTGTCTGACCCAGGAGCATAAAAAAAAAGGAAGCTTTTTGTGTATGTATGGATGAGGAGGTAAGAAAAGGGGACAAGTGAGGTTGGGGAGGGAAAAAATTAAGATAAAAGGCAATATAGAACTGTTGGTAACGTGCCCTCCACTTTACACAGGGTGCTAAAGGAGACTGAACCACTAGGTGGCAGCAGATGAGCAGATGAACCAAAAACAACCAATTGCCTCCCCTTTTAGGAGCCTTTGCACCAATCCCAACCTACAGGTAAGCACAAGGGCATTGTTTTAAGTGGTTAACAGAGGAAGCAAACAGAACCCGCCCCCCCCAGAGTGGTCCCTCCCTTAAAGAACCCCCACGGACCCAAGGCTGGAAGGCTGGTGGCTAAGAGAGGAGAAAGGCATTGTGCCATTGCTCTGGGACTGAGAGACACCGGAAAAGGGGACACCAGAAGAGGAAGAGACGGTATCCAGGACAGGGTCAGAAGGGGGATGAAAAAGGAGCAAGGTCAAGGTAACTTCACTCTCTGCATAGTTCAGGGATCTCTCAGTATCATGGTCATTGGTTTCCAGCATTTAAAACAAAATCCCCTTAGTACAATAGTCCCTTCTATACCTCTAGGCTTGTGTATACCCATACCACTCACCATTCTGTGGAGGTCTCCGGTGACTGCAAGCTAGCCACCACTCCGACCTCTGACCCTGGCAGCTGGTAAGCCCAGCAGGAAAAGAAATCAGATTGACCCTAAAAGATATAAAATGGACTAATCCAGAATTCGGTCCATCGCCATGGGGCGATCTTTGACCTTGTTTCAGGCAGAAAAAGATAAGAGCAAGTCTGAGGGGTTGATAAGACTATCTCCAGGCTGTAGGGCATTCTCTGAGGAGAACGTTCCACAGGAGAGCTTTGGGAAGCACTGGGTTCCTAAGGCCTGAAGCAAAACCTCACCCAGCAAAACTGCTCCCCATTCAGTTCAACAGCCACTATTTTAACCAACAGCTCAGAAAGCAACTGGCTAATCAGGTTACCACTTCTCTGTTTGACCCCACTAACCAAATCCCCACTTTAGCGCCTGTGACTAAGATAACCGGGGCATTAGACCACGTAACTAACCACATGGTATGTAGGATGGCTTCTTAATAGCCACTAATTGCTCTGGCATGTGAAATAGGGGAGGGAGGCTTTTTTTCCTTCCCTGATTTTATGTAAAGGAAGGAAAATAAGAAAGGTAAGATCCTAAATTTAAGATGCAAATGTATAGGGGCGCCTGGCTGGCTCAGTCAGTTAAAGGTCCGACATGATTTCGGCTCGGGTCGTGATCTCAGGGTCATGAGCTCTCTGCTCAGCGGAGAGTCTGCTTGAGATTCTTTCCCCCACTCTTCTCCCTCTCCCTCTGCCCCTCCACCTGTGCTCCCCGCCCCTTCCCCCCAGCTCATGCTATCTCTCTAAAATAAAGAAACAGGGCGCCTGGGTGGCTCAGTTGGTTAAGCGACTGCCTTCGGCTCAGGTCATGATCCTGGAGTCCTGGGATCGAGTCCCGCATCGGGCTCCCTGCTCGGCGGGGGGTCTGCTTCTCCCTCTGACCCTCCCCCCTCTCATGCTCTATCTCATTCTCTCTCTCTCAAATAAATAAATAAAATCTTTTTAAAAAATAAAATAATAAAATAAAATAAAGAAACAAAATCTTAGAAGAAGAAGCAGGAGCCCCAAATGTATAAGGGCACCTGGCTGGTTCAGTTGGTGGAGCATGTGACTCTTGATCTTGGGGTTATGGGTTTGAGCCCCACATTAGGTATAGAGATGACTTAAAAAAGTAAAATCTTAAAAAAAAAAACAGCCATTGTATATCTTCCTTTTACAGATAAATAAATAATAATTTACCAAGAACTCGCTGACATCCACTGCATAATCTGACCTAGGGCCCCGTACGGTTGGGCCTGCATTGTCCGAGCTGGTATCTGAGAATACTAAATACTCTGAAAGCAGTCTTTCAGCTCCATTTCACTATTTTCTCTGTCATCTGTATAGCAAAATAGCATAGACATTGTTTTGCAACCATCTCAATATTAAATTTCCTCATACTGTTATTATCTCTTAGAAATCTGTATTTAATTCAAAACCAACTGCACTTCTTCCTCTGGCGAATAAAAACGGGAAAAAGAAGGGAATTCCTATTGCGTCTCCTTCCCGAAACCCAGACAGTTTGATTCCATTTAAAGTTCCAAGGGTGGAACCAACGAGATGCCCGCCCTCCCGCTCAAAAGAGATACTTGATCTAAACATAGCACATAAGGAACTGCCTAGATTTCAAGTTATCATTCCCTTCTTTTTTTAGCCCTTCAGTTTGCCCAGTTGCAGCACCTCACATGTCATCGGGTCTTTGCGAGTGACAAAGCTGAGGATCTGAAAGGGGGTGAATTGGAGAAAAAAAAAAAAAAATCACACAAAATCTGCCGGGGAAGAGCGAATACAATGAAGGACTCTGGAAATTCTCGGTCTGCTGCTTTGCTTACTGAACCACTTGAGTTGTGCTGCCGTTGGACACCTCCGATGACACATTTTCAAATTCTACACTCCATGCCCAGCACGTGGGTCACAGTAAAGCAGAGAGCCAGACAATGCCATGATAGTGGGGCGAGGGAGATTCACCCCTGCCTTTTTCTTTTTTTTTAAGATTTTATTTATTTGACACAGAGAGAAAGACACTGCGAGAGAGGGAACACAAGCAGGGGGAGTGGGAGAGGGAGAAGCAGGCTTCCCGCAGAGCAGGGAGCCCGATGCGGGGCTCGATCCCAGGAC